TTACGGTTTTGCCATATGATAGACTTAATTTAAAGTGACCACAAATTTATTTTTAGATAGACTTATTTTCTTTTGGCCACAAAATTATTTAATATTGACAGATTTATAAATATTTCACAGATTTACTTAACAGATTTTTTTTTTTTTGCCATAGACTTACTTAAGTTTAACAGACTTAATTAGTTTTCAATAGATTTATTTTCCCTTTGGCCAAAGATTTTCTTAAATTTGACAGATTTATAAATATTTTATAGATTTATTTAACATATTTTTTCTTTTTAGCCAAAGACTAACTTAAGTTTAACAAACTTAATTAGCTTAAGTTTAACAAACTTAATTAGCTTAAGTTTAACAAACTTAATTAGGTCTTTCGCCACAGATTTTCTTAAATTTGACAGACTTAATTAGTTTGTCACAGATTTATTTTCTTTTGTCCACAAATTTATTTTATTTTGATAGATTTATTAGTTTCGATAGATTTTTTCCATTTTCGCCACAGATTTACATGATACATTTATATTCTTTTGACCACAAATTTATTTTCGTTAACCATAGACTAACTTATATATATTAACCTAACTCTACCGATTTGGCTAAACCAAATCGAACTATACCATATTAACCGAGCCAAACCATTTAAACCATAATCGAGAACCATAAGCTGCAAAACTTTAATCACTTGGATGTAATATATGTAGTTTACCATCACATTTGTTAGTGAGGCAAGATTGTGCTTGTTTATCCAGAAACTATTTGGAAAAGGAAAATCGGTAATAAGGGCATGCCTAGCATCAACACGTTCAACCATACACTATGGACTTTAGCAATTCAACATCCAAATATCAATAAAGTGACTCAAGTTTTCAGTTTTGATTATAAACCAGTTGATCCTTACGGATCCATAAGTAAGTCTTTTCTTTTAAGATCATCCCCAAAACTGTTGAATTTTTGTGTGGATCCAACTCTGTTTTTCTTATTAGAATCGGATACAGCTATTTTACAACACAACACACATACTTATAGTGGTTTTTCTTACCACACATACCTTTTCCCATACTCCTACTAACTAGACTTTCTTACACAAGCCAACTACGACAACTCCAACAACTCTTAACCACTCTAACTTGACTTAGTTAGCTTATAACTAAAACAACATCAACTATGTGTAACTTCTTGTTACACAAACCAATCTTTTCTTTGACTTCTTGCTTCTTCTTCTCATTGTTGTTGACTTGTTTTAGCTTTTCTTCCTTTGCTTCCTCTGTTTTTGCTTCGTATGTTGCTTATG